CCCACCCGCTGATCCAATGTTCAGCAAAATGCAAAATAAATAAATAAGTAACTGGGTTTCACATAGAAATTTCCAAAAATATACATAATATACTCAACATGCAATGTAATCAACAATCACAAATTACCACCCAAAAGACACAAAATCACAGAAAATAGAATTAAATTTCACATATAATTTATCAGAAAACTTACCAGTAGCGAACCGCTTTGCAGCGGGCGCAGCGCGTGGTGGTGGGGCAGTAACAAACAACGCAATAAGGACCCTTAATCTCAGCCACCGAAGCGGCGCCGTACCCAGCCGTGACCTCGAACTCAGCTCTAGCAGCTTCCTCCTTGGCCAAGACCAAAAGTCTCCTGATCTCCTCCCTCCTGGCGTTTGCGAGGCGCCATTTTCTCCGAACCACGAAGAATCCGATCACCGGCGCCAGAAAACAAGCCACCAGCACGAGGCTCCGAAACCCTAGATCCCCAGCCACATGCATTTATCCTCCACCCAAAAACTCACGCATCCAAACAGACCCAAAAACATAGATTTAGTAATTACCAACGGCGACGCCTGCGGGGGCGGTTGTGGTGGTGATTGAAGAGACGGACGATCACAGCCGTCCAAATTGGGCCACGATGGCGGAAATCGGAGAGATGAAACGAAACTGCGAGGAAATGGGAATTCAGGTGGGAAAGGAGAATGCGTTTGGTTGCTTGGAGAGAGTGTGAAGTTTGGGATTTTTAGCGACGGTTTTTTTGATCCGTACAATAAATTGGGGGAAAAATGGGTTCAGATTTTACCTTTAGGGCTTGTTTGTAAGGGAGCCAGAAATAGAATTGTGAGAAATATTCGGGGAAAAAGTAAATTAAATTAAATTCCAATTCAAAGAATATAATTTTCTATTTGATTTTTTTAATTTTGTTTTGTACGTTGAGAAAATATTTAATTCGGTTGGAAACAGAAAAATATTAAATTCGGAAACTTGACGGTCGGGGGTAAGGAATTTTGCAGAAGGGCATCGAGAAGCGTGAATTCTTCGCTCTCATAATATTCGGTTCGACCGCCGGTCCGGTTCAGCTTCCCGTTTGATTTGATTTGACGGACACGGAATTGGACGGTTGCATGGTGTCGCATGCATGTGGAGAATCAAAGACTCAAACGTGTGCGAGCGTGGGGGAATGGGTTGAGGAGGAGATCCGACGGTGGTGATTGGTTGGCCGGTGGAGGATGATGGTTCACTCACCCTTCTGGACGCTTGCCTGTATATAATGAGTAGGAATCCACCAGGGATTAGGCAATTCAATGGTAATTGTCTTTCCCTAGCTATACGTTGGTTGAAATTGGCAGTACATGGTGTACGTTATGTTCGATTTTCAACTGTCGGATTGAATGAATTGAAGAAGATGAATAAAAAAAAATAACAAACATGTGTGTAAGATAAAAATGAGTGTGTGAATAGCACCCTATTTAAATGATCCTAAATATTCCCAAAAAACTACCCTAAGTATGTTAAATTGTGAAATCAAACACTACTTTAGCTAAAATAGAACTTTCACATGTGTAAAATGCTTCGTTTTATATGATATGTGTGATCTGCAATTGATATTACGTATATGAGTTTTATTCGTATACTTGATGAAAAATTAAATTGTGAGATTTTCCTCATCATTGAAAAAGCATGTAAAACGTTTATGGATCGATGACATTAACAAGAACACGTAGAATTAAAAATCGCTATTCTTGGTCAAAAATTGATGCACTCACTAGACATTTACTTTTTATAGTCTTTTGATGACATTAAGAAGCCATTTCCATTTCAGATTCAATTTTGATGTAATAATAATATGGGCCATTGGAAATATGGAAAAATGGATGAACGTGTGTGCTGGTGAGTCAAAAATGGAAAGCATGAAGTACAAAGATGATGATAAAAACTACCCAACATATTTTGACGAATGAGTAGGATGTCGCCATTTTTCTTTTGGTATGGTAATTTTTCCTCATAAGGGGATGTCTTTTCTTTATAGCGAAACGTTTGTTGAAACGACAACAGCACATGAAAAAGAAGAATCCTAGTCCACATATTACAAGCAAAGAATTGTTGTGGTTTCAAAGTTTAAGCAATTGGTATGAGATGTGAAATTCAATGTGTTTGCTTAGTATAAGATGTGAAATTCAATGTGTTTTTAATAGGATGTAAATATTTTTTTTAACAAATGATATTATTTACACTAAGGAGAAGGGTGTGGGCTAAGCCTCAAAACATCTCCAATGGATACCCTAAATGAAGTCCCTACAACCGTATAGATCATAAATATAGGGACAAATGACTTCCAATGAGCCGGAATTGAAGTCCTTAAAGTATCTCAATATACAGGGACTCGCCGGATACCTCAAAAGAATTCTCAAATTTAAGGACTACATATAGGGACTCAAATAGTGGACTCCATATTAATTTTGGGGGGAAATGGTGCTGCTCTTTATGTTTTTTTCCTTGTTTTATGAACCCACCCAAGCGAGGAAACTTCTCATTTGCTTTTTTTTTTAATTCTTGAAAAATCAGTGGTAGAGATAGTTTTTTATTTTTATCAATGGTTACAATATTTCAATGAAATGAATAATTTTTTTTTATATTTTAGTCCCTGTATTTAGGGATTATACAGTAAGGAATTTCATTGTAGACAATATTCTTTTAGGAACTTGAATATTCCTCTAAAGCTTCTAAATAAGTCCTCAAAAGTGGTAGTGGAAGTCTCTAAATAGGGATTCCCATTGGAGATGCTCTCATAATGAGTTTGGGCGAGAATCGAACCTAAGACCTCTCACTTACAAATGAAGATGAATATCACTAGACCATAATACTAAGTGGTTTAAGGATTTTAATTTTAGATTAAAAAGGATATATGATATGAATTGGGTGGGACTTATTTGACACCTACTCACACAAACCATATTGATTCTCAATTAAATTATATTCCCAAAGTCATAGGTTATACCATTCGTGTCTAATGGCAAGTGATTATCTGGTTTGGTATTGTTGAATTTTTTAAAAAATCAACTTTTTGAAAAAAGTTGAGTCTAAAATTGTGTTTGGTAAATGAAAAAAAAAAGTGTTTTTTCTCAAATTAAGAATCCAAAACAGCAGAAAGCATAAGCAACCCCAAACTAGTCAAGTGACATTTAATTTTTATTTTATTAATTGTTAGGCGACAATTGTTGTTCATCAAAATTTACAAAAATGACATCTCCCAATAAAACATGAATGAGGATCCTGGGAATCCTCAAATCGTGTATGATCATCGTACATCGTGCGGTAAAAAATTATTTTAAATATTTTTATTTAAAATTAAATATAAATAGTACCTGACAAAAACTGACCGCACAATGTACGATAAACGAACACGATTTGAGGATCTCTAGGATCCTCACAAAGAGAATCCGGAGATAATCCTCATTCATAAAACATCACCTTGGAATAGCATTTGTTATATATGACAAGTGTGAGCACATATATTTTCTGTCTCTAAACTATTATGCTAATAAGTCACACACTATAGAAATATATAAGTTATGATTGATAATTTTCGTACACTTTTTATTTTTTTAAGTATTTGTTGCTCTTCTATCCTTTTGTCCCTTTATCTTTTAACTTATAGGTAGGCCTTGAACAAAGAGCAAACAAATATTAAAAATTTGCGAAGATTTGTGAAAATCACCACCCATAAGTCATCTTAGTTTTTTTTCCACAATGTATACTTAATTTTTATTTATTTATTATTATTTTTAAATCTATGATTGCAGAGTGTAAGCTTACATAACATTAGTTATGCAAGTCGTTATCAAAATCAGTTCTTATCTGTACCTTGTATAATTAAGGAGAGAAAACCATAGTCGCAAGAGAGAAAAAAAAGAAGATAAAGTACTCATCATTGTTGACCCCTACTATTGTCCCTGGGGCCGGTGGGAAACCTTTAAGGTCTCTTCCCTCGTATAACTAAGGAGAGAAAACCATAGTAGCAAGAGGGAAAAAAAAAAAATAGATAACAAACTCATCATTGTTAACCCTTACTTTTGTCCTTGGGGCTGGTGGAAATACCTCAAGGTCTCTTGCCTCTAACCCCCACCCATTTATTTCTCTCATCTTTTAACCATCATCATCTCTTTTTATAATCGCTCACTCCCTCTGTAAAAAAGAATCTTTCCAAAAAATAATGTTATGTATTCTTAAATGCTTCCCAATGTTAATCTTGTGTTGAATTTGAAAAATACTTAACAATATCATTTTTCAATTGTATTGCTCGGAAAACAAAGGTTAGATTTGTGGAAGTTGATATTATGACTTGAGGCAGTAGAGAACTGATTTAGAAGACTCATGATGATTCCTCTAGTAGCTTTAGTAGAGGCTTTACTTAGAATCAGACAATCATCAACAAATACTAGATTAAAAACTGGTGAAATAAATAAAATTGAAATCAACATGATGAAAGTGCTAAAAAATATTAAACAAGTTAAAAGAGCAAAGCTAATGGATATATCTCAACATAAAAATTAATCAAGAAAATTCATGTTGCTTGTGTAGAAAGTACTGAATCAAATGCAATGGATATATCTCATCATATAAATATAAAATATAGATGGTGTTTTTTTGTTTTTTCAAAAGGTGAGGGTTGTTTTCTATTCAACTTTTTTCTCTCTCCCATATATTTCCCCAAAAAAATTTAAAAAAAAAGTAAAAAAAATGCTTCACACTAGTTGTGACAACTCATCCTTAATTTTACGATTTTATTAATTTTAAAAGAGTGAATTACGAAAATGCCCTTATTGTGAGACGTATTAAACATTCTTTTAGAGTATTCTCGAAATACTCGATGGTACGAACGCGTAGGCACAAACGGAATCGAATTTGAAGTTACGATAGAGATTTTACGGACTTACGAACGTAAAGGGCAATTTGGTAATTTTCTGTTTAAAGATATTTTGTGGCTTGTTTTGTGAGCCACATGGTGCCCACACCCCCACTCTTTCCCTCTCTTATGTGTCTCCCAATCCCCAGAAATCCCTTTTTTTTTCTCAACTCTCCACTCATTTGCCGCCACCTCATATATCATTCCATCATCTCTCTCTCTCTCATCTCTCAGCTCCATTTCACCTCTCTCTTTCTACATGTGCAGAAAGCCACGCCACACCGTACCACCCTCGTTGGAACGACAAGCATCGCCATACCACTTCATCACTCCGTCGATCCATCTGAGTACTGAACCACCACCACAGTACCAATTACCAACCTTCATTCAAGACTGAGTTATCTGGGCGTGTACGAATCGAGGAAAAGTTTGTATTGGTTTGATTTTTCTGGCAAGTTTCTTTCGTCAACGACCAAGGTAGCCTTCGAGACTCCTCAAACCTTTCTTATAGCTCGATCTGATCCTACTTAACCCTGAATGTCGTCTTGGTGAAGTTGGGTATGCAGAACCACGTTAGGGAGGAACTTCCTAGATTTTTCGGTGGCTTTCGAGTCGTTTTTTGGCCAACTTCGGCCACGGTCAAGGAAACCAAAGGTATATTTCGATTCCTTGTCCTCTGAGCTTCGATTTGCTATATTGGAAGGTTAGGTTTAGTGAAGATTTTGTGTGGTCGGAGCTGGGATTTATCTTGGCAGTTGTAGCTGCAACCGGCCGGAGAAGAAGAAGAAGATGAAAAGAAAAGAAAAAGGCCCAAGCCCAAACTCGAATCCAAGTCTGGATTCGAACTGGATCTAAACTAGCCGACCCCTACCCATTTAGGGATTTAAAGGGAATATTCTGTTAACTTTTCAATTAACTTTAATAGAATATTCCATCTGAGGATGAAATATTTCGTTAAAGTTAACTGTTGACAGTCAGTTGACTTTTTTCGAAATTTTCTCGGAAACCGTCTTAGGCTAATTTCGACACTCCGAGTCCATTTTTGACATCCATTTAGTGAAATTTTAAAGTTTTAATGTAGTTGACCGCCGGGTTGGCTCGGTTGACTTTTCTATTGACTTTTTGTAAAATTTTTTGAGGACCCTCTTTAGCGTATTGCGACGTCCTGATTCCAAATCCACACTCCATTTTCCCAAATTTAATTGTCTTAGTGGAGTTTTACTAATGGGTCCCAATATTATGCATAAGTGTGATTACTATCGGAGACTCCGGCTATCTTAGCTCGAACGGCTGCGGCATCGCAAATATCTGTAATTGGGTCTTTACTTTTAAACATTATATACTTATTTAGTTTCCATTTATACATTTGAAAAAGAACTTCCTACGTATGCCTAGATTAGACTAATGTTTATAAGAATTAACGAAATAACGGAATTTACAAAATTATCCTAAATCCTACGGGATGCATAGGTATGCATATTATTAAGGGATGTCTTATTTATATTTACAGCAGTAAATAGTATTATGTTGGCGTAAGTTATTGATTTACCGCTGTATGATTTTGTTTACGTTATCTGCTCATCGTTGCTGCATCGGTGTTAGTACTCGCCCAGGCCAGGGCTAGACTTTCACGTGTATGTGCACATTGCACCGTACGCTCACTTGAGATCCATTGTAGGTGCCAATCCTATCCTAGATTGCTATAGGCAATTAGGACTCGTATGTGCTACGCATAGTGCCAATCTTCACGTGATTGTAATACTAGAGCATATATCTTTGTTACACCAAATTAGGTTCATGACAGAATATCTTTGCATGAACTCATGTGTCAGCATGTGCTGATGAGCACTCAATATGATATGTTTGCTTATGCGAGGTAATGTGATTACGAACGTCATGTGCTTACTTATGAAATATTGTGTGTCTTGAATTATTGAGGTTTTGCAGGCTACGATATGTATTTTCTTACTATACGTAGTATGTATATTTTGGAAACTATACTTATTTTATGACGAGGGGTTATTATGTTTTCAAAAAGGTTTTTAACAAAGCTTTGTTTTTAGGCCTACTCACCCTACCTTTTCGCTTTTCTAGGTTTTAGTGCTGAGCTTTCGTGTTGACGAGGATTCTTGGCAAATCTCTGTAAATGTGGCTACCTTTGATGGTATAATTCTCATCATACTTTACTGTACTTTACTTATGCTCTGACATTACGTGTGAAATAGGTTCATTTCCGCTCACAAATGCACTCTTGTGTTTAGGCACTTTAGGTTTAAATTTATTAACATTTTTCACAGCACTACACTTTATGGCTTCGTCACCTACCTGGTGTTGGCTAACACAACTCGATTCAGAGTCTAGGTGGACATTCCAGGTTGAGGTGTGTCACTAGTTGGATATTACATACCAGCCCTAAGTGAACAACCACATAATTAACAGTATTTACAACAAAAATGAAATTATAAAAGAAAAAAGGTACACAAAACAAAAATTAAGAATAAAAATTAATTTTAAATTTTTTTTCACTTTCAAAATGTTGTTTTCAATGATTCTCTTCATTTCCTCCCACCACCCTTCCTATTTTCTTATTCCCTAATACTATGTTTGGATGGGAAAATTTAAGATTATTAAGGAATTTTAAAACGACGGAATTTTATTTTCTAGAATTTGTGAATTTTCTTGTTTGGCTAACCTAAAAAACAATGAAATTTTAATACAGAATTTGTTATTTTTAAACTCATTTATAGAAATTAAGAAATGACACTTATTTACATGGAATTTAAACTTGGAATTGAAGGTTCCAAATGACACACCTCAACCTGGAATGTCCACGTGTCCATCCGAATCGTGATGTGCTAGCCGACACCCGAAGGGTGACGAAGCCATAAAGTAAGGTTGATGTGTAAAAGTGAGGATAAATTTAAACTTTAAATAAATAAGTTAGAGTGCACAACGTGATTAGGTGATAACCCTTATTACAAAATGTGAAGTTCAGAGCATAGTGCAGAAAGATAAAAGTTGTCTCATCCATAGATGATGATTATTTAATACATAAGTAACCTACTTTGATTGAAGAACAGTCAGCTACTTCCACTGAAACCTCGTACTCCCACAAGCCCAATCTCTATGTCCTGGAGGGGCGAAAAACAAGAGTGTGTGGGTCTATAAAATAAAGTTTTTCTAAAACCTTTTTGAAAAGGTGTAGCCCCTCGCTGTAAAGCAAGTATATGATTTCTCTAAGTAATAATATAATAATAGGTAGTAGGGAACCCTGCAGCACAAATGAGTTAAAGGATATATGGTGTTACTACGAAATATCTCATCATCAAAACTCAAATAGTTGTCATAAAATCACAGTTATGAAAAATCATAAAAAATCCACTGCTATGAAAATCATTGATCATTACCTATGTAGGTACACAAGTCATATAGAAAGTAGCTGCATGAACAGGCTAAGTGTAGGTTTTAAGTTCTAGTACTACATCATGTGAAGCTGGCGCTGCGTACATCACAGACGAGTCCAAACAGCAAACTTAAGGACAGGCTGGCACGTAACTGTGGATCCAAATCGAACGTAAATGGTGCATGTGAACATACACATGAAGCTAGTCCTTGGCCCAGGATAGTACAACTAACTAATAAACACTGTGCAAACATGTAACAATGAGCAAATATAGTAAATAAAGATGTCATCCCACATTTTATACTTGCAGTTAATAAAGATATAAAGTGTAGAAAATCTAATAAGAAAATAAACATGACATGTCACATCAATTATGTAGAGAAACGGTTATGCGAAAAATTGTATATATATACACACACACACACACACATAAATACATACATATACATATATATTAAAAACCAAAAGACCCACTCACTGGTATGTCGCAAGGTCGTAACCACCCAACCTATTATGCCCGCGGTACTCCTCTGGGTGGTCCTCTCCTATATGGGAAATTACTATACTAATCATTAAACTAATAATAGTTAATGTAAAATACCTAATTTCTCCTTAGTTTGCTCAAAAATGGAATTTGGAAAAACAGAGTGCGGAAACAGTATCAGCGCGTCGAAAAGCTTTAGGAAGGGTCCAGGGCAATTTTTCAAAAATGTCAACTTTGGTCAACTAACTGTCAACATTTAACTTTAACGAAATATTCCTTCCTCAATATTCCAAGAGAATATTTCCTTTTTATTTTAGAAATGGATCCGGGTCAGAACTAGCCCACGGATCCGGTTATGGGTTTGGGCTTCTTTTGAAGATGGGCTAAGCTGGCTAGAACCAAGACCTTTAGTTTTGGGCTCAAGCTTTTTTTTTTTTTTTTTTTTTTCTTTCCTGATTTGTTGCAGATTTTGTAGGAAAATTTGAACACTCCGTTCGGAGCCATTTTACATCCAAATTTTGCCCATAATATACCAAAACGAAGCTTAGGAAGAGAAGAATAAGATTATACCTATTTCAAGGCCAAGAGTTGGTCGGAGATCGTCGGAAAACAGCGTGAAAGTGGCGGCACGGGTTCGTCGAAAAATCTGGAAAAATGTATTGAGAACATGCATGCATCAACTCAGAGGTTTCCAACATGATTTATAAGTTAGAAACTATAAGAATAGGATTGAGAACTTACCCATGTGAAATGCAAGAGATTTCACTGAGAAATGGACCTCGAACTCGTTGGAGTTCTTCCGTTTTCCTTTGTCGAAATTTGGAAAAAAGAACGAGATGCATGCAAGGAATTAAGCCCTCAAATTCAACCACAAACTTGCAACACAATAGGATTTAAAGCTCAAGAACACAAGAAAGTGACAGAAACATCACCTGGGTTCGAGATTGAGAGCTCAAGCTTTCGGCTTCAATGGTAGAACCTCGCACCATGCATCGATGCCGCATGCAAGGCCATGGTTGGGTTCCTTGAGTTCCAGTGATTCTAAAAATATTATTTTTGTGTTTGATTTACTGAAGGTTCGAAGAGGAAGGAGGATGAGAGCTCACTGGAGTGAGTTGGAAAAGAGAGAGGGAGAGAAAAGAGAAAGAGAGAAAAAGAGAGAGAGAGAGAGACATAAGGTTTCAGAAAAAGAAATAAGGGAGAGAGAGGCACGACTAGGTGAGATGAAAGAAAATGTGATAGGGATATGATGTGTGTGTGAGATTGGATGGGACAATTAAGGGGTTTTAAAACCCAAACAAATAATTTTTTAATTCCACTTGCATCATTTGAATTTCCATCAGAAGCAAGTGCAGACTTTTACATTGCGCGAAGGCTAATTTCTTGTTCCAAAGAGAACCCATGCAGTGGTGTGTGCTGCATGAGAAGGAAATCCAGATTTTGAAATTTGCCTCAGGTATTTTTTATACATTTTCGAACGTAACTTGTTCGTTATAACTTCGAATTAAATTCCGTCTGCGGTTACGTATTCGTAAAAATAAGTACTATTCAGAAATAGTAAAAGAAGAGTGGGAAAGTGGAAGGAAAATTGAGGTCCACATGGAAAGTTTACGTGACATCCCAGTGGAATTTTAGAAATTTCATTGCTACTGGGAATAAAATACATTAGATTTTGGGATGGGATGTCACACCAAATCCCAACATTTTTTTTCCATACGAAAATTCTAAAGTCATATGTTTATGAATTTAAACAAGGGAATTTGTGCATGTCAAGTTATAAATTTTGACTTTTGTCAAAATTTCAAGTTTATTTTCTTCATCCAAACATAGTGTAATACTTTTTCTATATTTCATGCATAGCATAAATGTAAAAACTAAAAACGATATTGTTATCAAATGGATTCACATTATGTGCTGAGTTAAAATTAATTTGAATAAATGGTAAGTGATTAATAATTAGTAAGTTATAAAATATTTTCATTCTACCTTCAATTTGAAACATAACATGACAGGATTTAGTGAGGGTAAAGAAGTTAGATACTCTCTTAAATGGCTCACGGATTGTCCACATGACAAATAATACAAAATAATAAATGCAAAATTTGAAATCACCATATATAAATGGTTAAGCGTGTAATTGGATAAAATAAAAATTCAGAAGAAAAATTAAAATCATACAAGTTTAAAGGGATAAACTAAAACTTTCTTTTTGTTGTAGTTATATTTATAATAGGAATGTGATTATGTAAATCTTATTAGATCTAGGAATATCTCTTACATTCCTATTAGGAGTTGATTACCTATTAAGTGTTGTAATCTTAAAAGGGTAAGGTTTTTATCTATCATACTATCATAAATAAAGGCATAATGGGGTGATACAAACACACCTCACAATTAAATCACTCTTTCTTCTCTCTCAATACCGCCGGCCCCCTCTCTCTCTAATCCCTTATATTAGTTCAATCAAATAGGCTTACAACACGTTATCGACATTCTCTTACAAAAGCTGAGGAATTGAAGGATCGTACGAGGAGGCTATCTTCCACAAAATTCAAAGGCTCTTCTTTGTTTTCTGCCAATCAGGTACGCTTAAAATAAATGAAGATATTTGAAATGTCCACGAAGCATGAAAACATTCCCATGATGCATGAACTCCTCTATGTTTATATTTTCCTTACGATATATATATATATATATATATATATATATATTGTATATGTTCATATATTTGTTTCATGCATTACGCAATTAAATTGCTATGTGGAATTTGTGGGTCAAATCATATAAATAAATTAGAAGCAATTTTAGGGTTTTTCAAACCTAACCATGTCGGAATTTTTTTTTTTTTGCATAGGGCACTGTGCGGCACCACGGCCGCAGCACCCACTGTGGCACCATAGACCACTAGCCTGCAGACCGGTCGAGTAGATCACACGACAGTAGCCTTTAGGCTTGTTGCGCTGACTCAGACAACCCAGGCCTTTGACCTGATTAGCTCTATAGGGCTCGAAGTCCCTTAAGCCCAACCAAGAAAGCCTGCAGCCTTCTTGGCCTGTTGTCCCATGGTTTTAAAGTCTGCTTGTAGCAGTTCGAATCCTATTGGGTTGTGTCACGCGCCCCGGCCCGCTTTTCGCAGACTTGTCTGCTGGGCTAAACTCACCTCGACTTGAATCCCAGCTTCGGCTGGGCTTCCCATACACAACCCTAGGCCAGCATTTTGCTGGGCCTGACCCGTGCCCCCTATTTAGCCCACATAAGTCAGAAGCTTGCTGCTGGGCTTTATAACCCATGGTCTGTGGCCTGCAACCACCCGTGGGCTGCTTGCAGCCGTACCCGAGCCCAAACCCTTTTTGGGCTATTCTTTTTCGACCCAATGCTATTATTTGTCATTATTTTGCTTCCATGATAATCCCCGTTTGGTTTCGATCTATTAAATTAATTAAAAATGACCTGCAGTCCATTAATCTGATAATGAATCCAAAATTATTGACTTGAAGATCACTTTTGGACATTAACGATTCAATAATTTATTTTTATACTTTGAACTGTTGACATACTTTCGTAGTAACGAAGCTCTCACACTT